AATTTGGGATCAATTCTATCAACGGTTTGAGCCACTAAAGGCTAAAGTGTTGAGGGCAACACTTTATCAAGAGGGGGGCCTGATATGATCCCAAATGGCCAACTCTACATGTTTAAATTACTTGACGAAGAAGCTATCGAGGTTGGGAAGAAGAAGGGCATAATTTGGTTAAGTGTTGGAACAATTTCAAGTAGCCTACTTTGCAGGCATGGTTCTCACAATTGGCTCACTAAAATTTGGAGTTCAAGGGCTTGTTTTAAAGATAAAGTTGCCATATTTCCAATAGGTATGTTTATCTACCAAGGGGAGGAATGGATGAAGGATTGAAGTTCTCGAAAGCCTCGAACGAAAGACGCGAAGTTAGTACCAAAGTTGCTTTTGGACTGGTTGATGGCAGCTTACTCGTTGTAATTGTAGTTAATCTTCATAGACTTCCTTGGGTGACAAGGGATTCAACACGACCTTCTTCCCTTTATGCATCAATTGATACTTGTTGGAGACTCTATCGGGTTGTGCACTTCAATTGAATTTCCATGGTCTTCCAAGTAAGATGTGTGTAGCTTGCATAAGAACCACTTCACATAGGACCTCGTCCTTATAGCCTCCAATCTCAAACTTCAGAAATGTTTGCCTCACGACCGTGATCGATCCATCCTCGTTGAGCAGTTGGAGCTTGTAGGGTTTGGGATGCTTCATCATGCTTAATCTCAACTTCTTAACAACAATGGTACTTATGGCGTTAGTGTAACTTCCACCATCAATCACCAAGGAGAGTAACTTTCCATCCACCACACACCTTGTCTAAAACAAGTTCTCTCTTTGCTCGAGGTCTTCCTTGGGTTGCACGCTTAAGATCGTCCTTGTAACAAGAAAACTTCCAGGAGGTGCTTCCATCTCGATTGATTTATCGACCTCTGAATATGATGTCTCCTTTGCGTGCTCTTCTTCTTCAGAATCTGAAACATACTCACATTTCTCTAACATGATTAGAGCTCTTCGATTAGGGCATTGGTTGGCCATATGTCCTCTTCCATGACATTTGAAGCATTGAATACTTCCACTAGAGACCGCGGGGTTTGTCTTTTGGTGCTTCAACCTTGGCTGATGATTTTGGTGCTTTTGGCTTCTTTACGGCTGGCCTAGAGTTTGAAGTCGAAGGCACACTTGACCTTGGTTCACTTGTAGGTGGCAGGAATCTCCTCCCAATGTTGCTATGTTGTTGTTTTCCACTTTGGTCTTCATTGCAACAAAATCATACAAATCCTCATAGGGATGAATCTCCACCACATTCTGAATTTCTCGATTAAGGCCATGTAGGAATAATGCAATAGTAGCTTCACGATCGTTCGCTAGATCCTCTATAATCATCAACATCTCCATCTCTTGGTAATAATCTGCTACGCTCTTGGTGCCTTGTCGTGGAAGTTGTAGGGCTTGATGCATATCCCAATGATGATAGCTAGGGACAAATCTATCTCGCATGATGCCCCTCATCTCTGCCCACGTCTCAATAGGATTCTTCTTGTTCTTTCTCCTTCTCGTACAGGTTTGATCCACCATACTATAGCATAATCCGAGACCTCGAGTGTTGTCGCTTGAACCTTCTTTCTCCCGGAGTAATTGTTGTAGTCAAAGATCTTCTCCATCTTTCATTTCCAATCAAGATAGGCCTCGGGATTGGTGATGCCTCTAAATGATGGAATGTTGACCTTGATATTCATCAATTCATCCTCTCCATCTCGTGGGTAAGCATCATCACCATCGTACTTAACCTCGTTGTCATTCACTCGAGGTTGGCCTCGTCTTGCTTGTGGGACTCCTAAAGGGCGTTGGCGTCTAACATGCTCGTACAAAGGCCGCTGCACAATCCTCTTTCTCCTCTCTCTTCCTCTTCTCTCCTAGCCCTCTCGACATTAGGGTTAGGGTCAGGCTTTGGTGGTGCTTCTTGCGCAGGAGCTTGAGGAACGACGGGTAACCTTGCTTCAAAGGTTTTAAACTTTGCATCAATGTTGGCGGCTTGTGTAGCTATGGCTTGTTGGATTGCCTCTAATTGTGCCATGAATGCTCTCATTGAATCTTCCATTCTAGTGGCGCAAGATAATGTTTCTTGTGTTGAAAGCCAACATAACTCTTCAAGATTACTTCCAAGAAGCTTCAAGAACACATAAAGATCGCCAAGTAACTTCTTATTCTTTGTTGCGTTTAAACCAGGCACTTGATACCACTTGATGTGACCAAAGTATGCAGCCTTCCTTCTTTTTAAGGGATTTTCAAAGCTTTTCCTCCAACATGAACAACTCAAAATAAAAGATAGATTATGAAACACGATCGAACGGATTCCATTCGTGTGAAGGGACAATTGGTATGCGAACCAATCTTGTGAATGAGACCAATCGCTATTTGGTAGAAGCTCGCCACAACTAGACGAGTTCTCTAGTTGATAAGAGACACATGAAACTCCTGGAGATTCTCAACTGAAGCTTGCAAAAATTCTTGTTCGTAGTTGAACTCGTAAACACAAATCATTAACAAACAAGTAAAGAATAAGTCAAACAACCTTTCTAGAATCTAGCCTTCAAATCTGCCCATGTCCTTGTGTTCACACCTTGATTCTTTTGACACATAGGGTTTCTCTTCTCTTCTTTCGCTGAATTTTCTTCTCCTCTTTCCAAGCCCATTCTTCCTTCTTTCTGGTCCACGAATTGTAGCAATGTAATGGACTTGACATGATGTTGATCCACGTCCATTTGATCAAATTAACGATCCAAATAACCAACAAACTCTTCCCTTAACCTCTTGGCTTGTAATCATGTAATTGGACCTTCTTGTGACGTGATGAACTTGGTTTTGATGACTTCACCATCCTCCTACTTCCTCCACTCGCTAGTAGCTTATATTCCGATTTTGGGATTACTTTCTTTTTTTATTTTGTAAAACCAAGAGGAACTTCAATCCCGAAAACACCGCAACCGCCACATTTCTTTTAAAACCACCAAAGAACTCGTCCCTCACCACATACACTACAACGTGATCATTTGTTTATGGGAACTTAAGGTATGCTTTGAGTTTACTTGTATGCTTTATGAATTTTGTGGTGTGGTGCGGTTTCGATATGCTGTATAAGTTTTCTGGTATGCTTTATGATATTTGCGGTGTCGTTTTGTTGTGTTTCTAGTTAGTATTTTATGGTCTGCTTCATTATAATTGTGATTAGGTGGAATTAGTGCGCAACATCCAAATTTTTAATATTGACAAGTGTGCCCCTCTGTTTATATGTTAGCAATAATTGTGTTCAATCTCTTGAAATAAAAAATTCATAAAAACAAAATATTTCTATTAGTTCGAACTAATATTGGTATCATTCTAATTAATTGAATGTTAGCATCCTATCATTTGTCAGGACGGGTGGACTTTTCCCATATAAGTTAGTATTAGGGTTGGGAAACAATCCGTTCCGATTATACTGGACCGGATTAACACGATTTTTTACAACCATACTGAACAAACCCACAACTGAAGACGGGATTGGATGGGATCTAGTTTTAACCGTGACTGGATTGGATTCGGTCCGGTTTTGACCCAAAAACCGGATTGTTATTAATCCCTCTCAAAACGCAGCGTTTGAAGACAAATTGGATAAAAAAAAGTGAACTTCAGAAGAAATCTCTCTGCTTCCTCCAGTTAACGACCCTGTCTCCATTTTTTGGATCAGCTTCTATGTTCTTCTTTCTCTTTCTTCCATCTGCCTCTTCTTCTTCTTCTTCTTCTTCTTCTTCTTCTTCTTCTTCTTTTCGATGAGGCAAGCAGGTTGCCCACTTGCTATGTTGGATCAGTCTTCCACTTGCATTGTGAGCATCGCCATCTCCATCGCCCAGATCTGCCTCGCCATGTAGAGAGGAGAATATCTCCGCATCCCAAATCTCCGTCGCCCAGATCTTTGCCGCCGTGCTTGCTTCGTCGTGGCCATGAGGTGAGGGTGAGTCTGAGAGAGATGGATGATGGATCAATAGCCGTCGTGATTGCTTCGTCGTCGCCGTGAGTTGAGGGTGAGGCTGAGAGATTTTGATTTGTGGGTGTTTGTGTGAGGAGATTTGAGAGAGGTAGAGAGACGGTGGGATAGAGAGTCCGCCGTTGGGAGTGGGAATGGAAGGGAATTGGAGATTGAGAGGAAGTGGGGAATTGAGAATACGGAATTGGGTTAGGGTTAAGGCTTAGGAGGGCTTGGAGTGGGCTGGGGTGAGAGAGGGAGTGGACTTGACGTGGGGATGGGCTGAGATGGTTAGGATAGGTTTTATTTTTTACAATTCCGGTTTTAGTCGGATCGAACAAACCATACAAACTTAAAACTGTAAACTGGATTGGGTTAAGGGTATCCGCTTTCTGGTCACAACCTGAATAGTTTTAACTGGCCGGTTTTCGTTTTGACCGGAAAATCGTGACTGGATTCCCAGTCCTAGTTACTAGTTAGTATACATTTGGATGTAGCTGGTCCATTGGGCCGGCCAACTGGGCTTGCGTCGGCTGCGGCAAGGTTGATTTTTCTTTCTTTGGTAGAAAAGTTGATTCGTCTAATACAGAGAATAAGTAGTTGAATCTACCGTGAAAAGGAAAAGGGCGGAAAGAAGGAAGGGAGTGAGTACAACCCGTTACCTTTATACTCACTACTACTACCGATCGACAAACCAGTGAGTACAAGTTACAACCCACCCACCCACCACCACCCTCTTCTTCCCTTGTATAAAAATCCCATAAAAGAAAACCCCACAAAACCAAACACCCTTTCCTCCTCTCTCTCTCCCCCTCTCTGACACTTCTGTTAATTCCCCCCGTCTCTCTCAGCTCGATCGGGATCTCCCCAAATGGCAGCGATGACAACCTCCTCCTCCGCCAACATTAACAACAACAACTCCTGCGGCGTCGGCTTCTTCAACTTCCGCTCCAACTCCACCACCAGAGCAGCCCGCCCCCTCGCCTCTTGCAGCAAGCTCGACGGCGTCGCCATGTGGCTCGTCAACGGCGTCGCCGCCGCCTTCTTCGCTTCCTTGGACACCTGCTCCTGCATCCGGATCGCCACCGTCGACGACGCCGAAGACGGGAACGACGCCCCTCTCATTCTCAACGACGGCAACGTCAACCGCTCCCCCTATGCCGCCGCCGGCGGCGGCAGCAGCAGGAGGAGGAGGACGACCAAAGGCAAGAAGCAGCACGCGGCTGTGTTATACGGAGGTTTCTGATTTATTTTATTCAAAACAATTGAGAGTCCCTTTTATTTGTTTTTGTTCTACTTTTTGGAGGGATTATGATCGATGAGCAGAATTCTGGCAAAAAAAGATGATGAACAGAATTTCTGCAACGATCCGTATAAATTAAGCTGCTCTCTCCATGATCTAAATTCTTAATTAATGCAGTTCTGGAATTGAAGCAAAACACAAAATTGGTTTAATTTAATTACTCCAAACACAAAATTTCAAATAATAATTAATCATCTTATTATTATTCGTTAATCATAGCTGTGCCAGCAGACTGCCAGCTGTATATATTTATCTAAGATTTTCTGTCTAATTTGCTTCAACATTATCTACCTTTTTCTCCATTTATTGGTAGATTAAATGTGCAGCCTATATGAAATTGTTCCTGTATATACATGGTTACGAGACAAAGAGAAAGGGCAGAACCGTCGATGATTCAGATGGAGCTTATTGCTTTTGTCTGACATTCCCAGACCATATATTGTAACTTATTAATTCAATCTTAATTAAGAAATAAAAGAACAATACAGCCATAGAGATATTTACTCTATATAGAAAATAATTTATCTTGACGATATATTTCCATTACAAATGGGGCAAAGTTGGAATAAATGAGTTACATAAGATATTCACCTATAAACTGTAACTATCTATAAAGTATTTGATCAATTAGGCATTAATAAATTACATAAGATATTATACCCATAAAATGTAACCTTTTGTTTTACTCTGTCTAACTACTATCTTGACATAATTGGATGATAAGTCCGTTGGTCTACAGTGTGTTTGGTTTACTTTACATCAAACCATGGCTATGAATCTAATATTTATTTCATCAAATGTCACATTTTTAGTTACCCTGTTTTATATTTGCTCGCTATTTTTTGTAAGGACGATAATTATAGGATACTTAATATGAAGTTCTTGCTAGAGTATCTTGATTAACTACCACTGCAATTATATATGTCAAACTTGTCATTTATCGTCATTTTACAAATAAGTATAAGTATACTTTGTACCCAAACTTCGGTACATGCCTAGTACTAAATATACTATAATATTGATAAATAACTACTATTGAATTTCATGAAATAAGTAAAAGTAATAGAATAATAATGGGTTATATGTATAATATGCCTCTCTACTATGACGTTGTATCAAACATGCCCCTCTACTATGTTTTACATCAAACATGCCCCTGTACTTTGTAAAAATGATCAAACATGCCCTTTTGTTACAATTTTCATCCAAAAACCGTTAACCAAGGCCGAACTTTAGTTTGGGCGACACAAATGACTAAAATATCCCTAATAAATTCACTTTAGAATTTTTTTTGTTCTTTTGTATAATCAAATCATTCAAATAATTTCACTTTGAAAAGACCTAGGGAAATAAAACAGGGGACAAAACTGACCTTTTACCTCCCATTTGCCGATGTCGGGTCGTCTAAATCTCAATTCAACCATGATTGACGATTTTTTCAATGGAAATTTTAACATAAGGGCATGTTTGATAATTTTTTCAAACTATAGGAGCATATTTGATGTAAAAAATAGTAGAGGGCATGTTTGAGAAAACGTCATAGTAAAGGGGCATATTATACCTATAACCCAATGATAATGAATAAAAGTTAACCATAGATAGGCATGCACTACTAAAAGGGTTGGGGGGGAAAAGCCACTTTTGACATTCAAAATAGAGATTTTTATTGTTTGGCCATCATGATGAATGATGCTATATATTAGCCGTTTATTTCTTTATGGTTTCCTACCTTGTTGTTGTAATTATCATTTGGGATTAGTGATCATAATCCATCATCTCTTCCGGTGGAGATCGTTCTTCTTTTATAAATTTGTCACCTCTTTATCTCTCTCTCATTCTAAATAATTGATGGCAATGGAATCCAAAGTTTTGACATGTTGACACAATAATTAAAAAGAAAGCACAACAAACAGTTTAGTGTTTACGATCCAGGATAGATATAGTTGCACAGTTTTGTAATGAATTAAAGTGACGGGGGATGCTCGTCTCTCCAACCTTTTCTTTTTTGTTCCCTAGTTTAATCTTCTTTCTGTTCCTAATCTTTTTTTTTTCATCCTTAATTTGCTGCCTTGGATTGGGATCTTCACATTCGGCCTCTTCGCCTTCTTTCACCAATTTTTTCCTATCCTCTTTCTGGATGGCTAAATCTCGCCCTAGTTTTACTTTTATCGCCCTAACTTAAATGTGTATATTACTTAAATAACCTTCACGAACCAAATAACGATTAACACAACAAACAACCCCCAATCTCCTTCGTCAAAACCTAGCAGCAAATAAAGGTCGCTGGTCCGACGAGGCAGAGCCGGAAAAGAACATATCACAGTTCTCTGCAGAAGAGCCGCATCACCGTCCAAAGCTGCAGGAGAGCTGCGTCGCCGTTAGAAGCATCTCCGCCGCCAAATCAACTCAGCCTCCGGGAACTACAACTGCAATGTTCTCTCCCAGACGCGATCTAATCGCAATCCCTAAACTCCGGAAGCACCTCCTCGCCTTCCTCCACGGCGGTGGCAGAAGCTAGTTTGACGCCCGATTCACCGCTACCAAACTGGAAAAATGACTCACAATATAAAAATCCTAATTTGCTAGCGTGCGTAAGAGGGGAAATCTAATCAGCCCGCCGCAGTAGAGAGAAGATGTGGTGATCACTATGTAGCAATTTCTATAGGAGTTGTCTCCTTCTTCGCCAGTCTCGCAGCGTCGAATTAGCAAAATCACTTACAATAGTCTTTCCTCCTTCGCTGGCTGCTTATTCTGCGCGTCCGTTCTCATGCGAAATGGGTATCGAGAACGGTGATGTTGGCAGCGAACAGAAATGGCAGATTCTGTACAATTTCTTAAATGCCACCGTGGTGGAGGAACAGAGATGGCAGCTTGGGAGGTCGTAAAGGCGAGCTGAAGCGGCGAAAGAGGAAGAGTTACAGGCAGAAATTGAGGAGCATTTGAGTCGCGGACGATCAATAGAGAGATTTAGATTGACGACCGCTGTGGTTATAAGAGCGGAGAAAGCAAAAACAATGGGAGGCCGGAATGGGTTGAAGTTCGCCCCCGGGAAAAGTTGTTTGTTAAAATAAGAAATTGAAAAAAATAAAAAGGATAAAAATGTAATTCTAATTTTATGTTAGGGCGATTAGTAGAATTTAGGAAACGGGAAGAAGAATAACAATGTTTTTAATAAAATTCTGATTGAAAAAGTCTTTTATTGTGAGTAAACGAAGGGTCACAAAAATCGAATTCAATTAATTATAAAAAATCAATTACTCAAAAAAGTAATTCCGTAAATTAATTAAATAGCCAAAAAGTTCAATTTCGAACATGTCGCGCAAACGTGCAAAGTGCTAAGTGTGTAATGCGATTTAATATATCAAATTAAATTGCACAAACTTTTCCCTAAAACTCACTAACCACTTTATACAAAAAAGTAAAATGGAAGTAGACTTAAAAACCACTTGCACCTTTTCTCTCCAACCAATGTGTCATTTAGACTCTTTGGACTACTCTGACAATCCCCCACTTAGTCAACAATAGTTTGAGAATACCCGCTTCAAACAGGTAACACATAGATTTGAACATTTACCTAGTGTAAGCAACTCAAAGTTCATAGCATATAAGTCATGGGCTTAAGTCTAGAAGTCATGATTCAAATCTAGAACCAAAGTTGCCACACACGTACTCATCTCTTCTCTAAACCACAACCACCAACAAGGGTAGCACTGTATGGCCATGTGTTGATCCTGTTTCATAAGCATACACAAAAGTTGACTTCTACATTTGTTAGAGTGACACACCACTCTAAATGCTCACATAGGTCACATTTCAAATGAACGTCATTAAGAATTCTATATAACTCACCCTTCTTTCATCTAATGTGCTTGTATAATAAATTAATACATAAGTTAGAGTAACTTGTTATTACCACATTGAATATTTTAATTAGTGAATACCTAAAGAAAATGTTGGATTTCCATTACTTTTAACTATACAATAGGTGTCAATCACATCCCTTTGGATGTCTCATAAATCATGCCTCGTGACAATCCTTGGTAAGACGATCTGCCAAATTATTGCATGATCTCACACACACAATAGAAATGACTCCACTAGTAATAAAATATCTAACGTAATAATGTCTTAGCCTAATATGTCTAGACTTACCCTTGTAAATCTTGTCATAAGCTCTAGACAAAGTAGTCTATCTATCATAAAAGACATAAATGATTGGCATCGGTTGTGGTCACAATTCTATACCTAACAACATATTTCTTAACAATTTTGCATCTTTTCCAGCCGTCTCAAGGGTTAGGAATTTAGCTTCCATGGTGGAGTGCGTAATACACGTTTGTTTCTTTGAAACCCAAGAAACATTCCCACCATCTAGTGTAAAAATCTATCTTGTTGTTGATTTATATCACTAGCATAAAAAAATGCTTCCAACAAAGGGGGGAGTTGCTATAGAAGAGTCCTATTTTTTTCTTTTTAGATAAGCAAAAACTGTTCCTATATATATCTAATGAACATCATTAGGATTACTAGTGAATCTAGAAAGTTTGCATACGACAAATGCAATATCAGGTTTGGTACAACCCATTTCATAATACAAATTTCCTACAGCACTAGAATACTCAACTTGTGCCACTTCCCTTCCCTCATTCACACAAAGTTTAAAAGAAGCATCATAAGGGGTGTTAGCTTCTTTTATGTCCAAATGCTTGAATTTTTTGAGCATTTTCTCGACATAATGTGACTGACACAAAACAAAATGTCCACTATGTTTCTTTACTATGATGCCCAAGGTACTATCAAACTTTCCAAGATTTTTCATTAGAAAATAAGAAGTTAGATACTCCTTGGTAAAATTTATATCCTTCATGTTAGTCCCTATTATTAACTTATCATCAACATAAATGCATGCATTGACTATATACTCTTTTGTGAACTTTGAGTAA